ATGTTATTTTTCTGGCTACGGGCTGGATGACCAAGGGTCGCAGTTCGAGTTCCGTTAGGGCCAAGAACTTTTTCTTCACCATGTCGTCCAGACCGGCTCTGGGACCCAGCCAGCCCCCTATCTAATGATTACTGGGGACTCTTTCCCCGGGGCTAAAACCTCCAGCCAGTACCGGGTCAAGAGAACGTGGATCTATACATCCACTCCCCCATACGCCTTCATGGTGTGGTGCTTAATTAGTTAAGTTAGTTACACAGTATTATAAGCCGCGCCATAGCTCAAGCGGTTAGTCGCTGGCTTCCCACCGCGGCGGCCCGTGTTCGATCCCAGGTCTGGTCAATTGGGATTTATGGTGGACAACGTGGCGCTGGGGCAGGTTTTCTCCTAGTACTTCGGTTTCCCCTGCCAATCTTCATTCAAATAATTGCTCCACAGTCACCCTCACCTATCATCTGGGGCTGGTACAATAGACCACAAGTGGCCGCAGTACAAGGGACTTGGTCCCACCCGACTAGCAGTAAAAAAACAATGCACAGTACTGTTAAGGGAAACTGTTCTCACAAATTGTCGGAATTTAATATAAAATCGTTTTCGTGATAATCGTCATCGTCATTTTGCAGGACTGAGGTTCTCACAGCGGTGGTTTTGATAGGCGCCGTGTAGTACGGTTGAACTTCAACTGACATTTCGGACAAACGTGTCGCTTCCATCTTCAGGGCCCAAGAATAAGCCGAGCAAGTAACTAACGTGAAAGCTTGTGGCAAGCAGAGCGGCTGACTTTCAAAGGATTGCACGTTGTGACATCACAGAACAAAGACCACTTCGAACGTCATTCTATTCTCGAGCGTGAGGAGCCCTTATTTCTGGAACTGGAATGTTTACATTCACAAGGAACCGATCTGTTAAAGTCTTAAATATGGAATACGAACAAAATCCGTTATCCGATCAGACGCATAAAGTAAAAAAGCTAGTTATCCCTGTAACAGGCGGTCGAGGCTCCCACATTTTCAAGACAATCAGCTCACAGATGGCGGTGAGGTTGTCAGCCTTACGCGCAGGCCTACCTTTACCCCTAGGAATATTCCTGGTACTCATTTCTGTTAGAGGCTGAGTTGACCCCAGGGCCAGAATGCGGATAGAAGGCCTAAGTCAATTGAAAAATCAAATGATCTCATAGGGAGTCGAACCCGAGACCTTAAGGCTTGTAGCAGAGTGCCCCGCTTCCGGTGGTTTCGCATGTCCACAAATTTCTCTCTCCTATTATATGTACAGATGAGCCGCAGTCTCACTACCAACATCGGCTTGCAGGTGTTGTCACCCTTCAAATTCATCCGTTTGTATAATAATATTAATGTACTGCACTGCGCCGCACTCTAAGGGTTTCAAAGCGGAGCGTAAGTCAGCAGTAAGCTTGATGGTACTGCCATCTTCACGTAAGTCTGATTTCCTCCATTTTCACAATCGACGCCGCAGCGCCCAAGTCACAGAGGTATAAAAATTACATCAGATGCAAACGAAATATCAACTGCTTTCATCCGCTGACAACCGTGAGTAAAAACTGCCCACGCTTGGAAAGAAGCGACCAACGACGCGCACAAAAAGAAAAATTGGCAGCAAATACAGAACCTGACTTTCCTTGAAAGTCACGCCATGACAGACGTTAAACCTGCAGAGAACTGCGATGCATTATGTTCCAGGATGTGTCAGTGGGCACGTAGAACTCTGTAGCCCACCATCACCAACACAATGCCGCTGAAAATTCGGCGTAACGTATTTTCATTTACTGATTTCAGACGTTCACGGTATTTCATTGTTGATATTGATCCAGCTCTTCGGGCTTTGCACCGTGTGGCCGTGGGTAGCGTAGCCGGCGTTTTTAAGGAACATCCGCATCAGTCTTCAGGACTGAACAGCGTAGAGTGGAAGGGTATAAACGTAACGCTATCCCTGTAACAGGCCGTCGAGGCTCCCACATTTCCTAGAAAATCGGCTCACAGATGGCGGTGAGGTTGTCGGCCTAGCGGGGCGACCGCACCTTTAGCCCCCAGGAAGATTCCTGGTACTCATTTCTGTTAGAGGCTGAGTCGACCACGGGGCCATAGTGCGGCTGGAAGGATTAGGTCAACTGAAACATCCAATGACCTTACTGGGTATCGAACTCTCGCTCTTCCAGCTTTTAGCATAGAGCCTCAACTACGCTACCGCGTGCCCCAGAATGGATGGGTCTCCATATATTTTTTGGAGTCCGTGTGCGGTTAAAAGGTTAGACACAGCTCAGCTCTTCACTCCATCTGATAAGTTAGCCAGAGCTGTGGGACACTAAAATTGTGGTCATTTGGCGGGGACTCGGAACCCAGACTGACTGTGCTGGCCAGTACCAGCAACAATTTTCCCGATCGACTCCATATAATAGCCGTCTTTTCAGAACGTTGCGTATTCTTAATGAAGTTTGTTTATATCATCACCCCGTTGAAATTTTAAAGGGCCTTATGCTGGATGAAAGAACTGCAATTTATCCCGTAATCGGGTTCTGATTCTTTATGCGCATGCGCAAGTTTAAATCGTAGAAGAAAATAATTTATTTAGTATCTTCATCACTCAATCCCTTTCTTCCCTTCCCTTAGCTGTCTCGAAATATTATCTCTTTCACTCATATCTTGCATAATCCTTTCGTATTTTTGTCCGTTACATCTTCATCCCCCTTCCGCCCCCTTTCTGTATTGTGGCGTGTAGAGCCGTTGCTATGCAATGACCGCGAGAAGGGCGTATATAACAGATCAGTTTCTGGGCAACGGCTCGGTGAACAGCGACCGCTGCTAGGTAAAACATACACGCACGCAACGTGTTTTCTGTGCGGTAAGTGCTAAGGTGTTATAAGAGGGACAAAATTTAGAGCTTAGTTCAGTTATGGGATATTCGCCGGACAGTAATGACATAAGCACAGAAGCTGAAGAATTTCCACTGTTAAGATCCGTTACCATGAAACGACTAGTGAAAGCAGACTTAGACGACTTAATGTGTGCTCTAGTGATTTGTATAAACTGTGGGTACTAGCGATAGTGTTATAATTACTAGTAGTTCCGAGTTGTGTGTATAAGTGGTCAACAAATGTATTCACCAATCCAAACCCCGTCTACAGTCACACCGTATCACGTGACAATGTGTACCGCCCAACACAAGCGGTTCTTGCATAAGAGCAGAAATGGTAGTACTTGATTCGCGTTCTGTATGAGCTCAAGTCAACGTGCGTCACCCGGCTTCCAACTTACTTTGCTTCCTCTGGCGAACAAATCCTACGGCCAATCACGTAAGGGCTCTCTTCAAGGACAGGACGGTTACCCCTACCTGAGACGACACTCCTCTACTCGGGCACCCGAGAATTAGGCTCACTTCCCACTTTCTATCAGCAGCGGCCCTTTTCCAAATTCTAAATGTTTCGCCTTCCTGTGAAGAAGAAATATGGAACCCTGAGACGGGGTTATTTCTTCTGAAAATTAACTTACAGCTTCCGTCTCGTGGCGAAAAACAATACAGCGCCTCTGAAATGGACCGATTTCCTACCCACCGGCCTCACACGCTCGTACTGGGTTTCATTTTGTCTCCCCTTCAGTGAATTTAAGTGACTTCCTTACAAGCAGGCTACATACGGTTACCGTACCAGTTGGGAGGACAGGCAGTAGTCAGCCGCATCCCCTCGTTGCAGATGGGGCCCCATTTCAAAACACGCGAAAGTCTTGGGGTAAATAAATGTGGGCACAGATCGCGAAATGAACACTAAGAGTGATGGCGAAGGCCCGCAGTAATTTACCCGACCGACTGCCAATATATCCAAATTCTTCACTCCCACTTCAACACTGAAGATATAAGCAGTACGGTCCTTCGAAACGTTAGTATCGGCCTATAATTGTAAAAGGTATCCCAATCCAGAAGACCAAAATCCTTATATGCAACCTTTCTCGAAATAAAACACGTCGCTTGCATAGCCGAGTGCAAGGAATCGACAATTATTCACGGCATAAAAAAAAACAGAGAGGCGAGTCACACGCTGACGTAAGCCCAAGATCACGTGTAACATTCCGTACAAGGAAGGCTGTTAGCCCCACACGCAATCTTCCATCTGCAGCTACTGTCCATCAAACGTTAATACAGATTTTACGTTTCTGGACGTTATCCACCGTCCCTTTTCCATCTAAAAGCAAGCGTCGGAGACAGGATTCTGTCTCCGTCTTTGGGTAAAATATATTCAGTTGGGACCAATCCACAGAGCTAGGCCCAAGTGAGCAGATTTTACCTGAAGACGGATTATCCAGTCTCCGAAACGTTGTTTTTAAATAAAAACATGACGATGGATAATGTTCACAAACATCTGTATTAATGTACCATCGTTAAAGACTTTTAGACCTTATTAAAAAACGTTAAAATTAAAGACTTTGGATTACTCCTCGGACACTTCAAAGTGTGTCTGCTACACTTCAGTAACAAGTTAAGAAGTCTGATATCTGAGTATCATTCAGCAAAGGCCGCGCCATAGCTCAAGCGGTTAGTCGCTGGCTTCCCACCGCGGCGGCCCGGGTTCGATCCCGGGGTCTGGTCAAGTGGGATTTGTGGTGGACAAAGTGGCGCTGAGGCGGGTTTTCTCCGAGTACTTAGGTTTCCCCTGCCAATCTTCATTCCACCAAATTCTCCATCATCATAATCACGCCGGGCAGGCTACAATGGGCCAATCAGTGCCCGCCGTGCGGAATGGACCCAGTTGGACTCCACCGCCACTAAGCGAATTAAAAAAAAAATTAATCATTCAGCAAGGAGAATTACATGCAAATTCGGATTCGCAGTAACAGGGTTACAATAAAAACAGATCACCACTTGAGTAGGTAACCAGACTGATGTTAACTCGAAGACATCCATTCTGCAGATAATTTCGATAATATAAAAATATAATTTCCCCTGAGAAGAACAAAGAACGGTGTTTAAAATGTCGGTTAATACACCCAACTCACCGCCAGCAGGACTGCACCAACCCTTCCTCAGCCGGGAACACTCACCTGCAAAACAAAACAAAGAAAATCAGCTCGGCACAGAGGAGCGCAACTTTCAACTTTATCCTTCAGACGTCCATGAAATGTGGCGAGATACAATCTGACTAGTTATAATGTCAATTTTTAAACCGTGGTGTAACAGTTCAGATACACCAACCACAATCCGCCATCCATACATCTACGGCTCTAAAATCTCTTGCTGGAACTTGGCCGTTTTCTTTTTTACAGTTCAGTTCTTAATAATATACACAGTCGCTAGGGCTCCTTGGACGGGGATCAGCCCGTCACAAGGCCGCTACCTATACAAAGAACAACACAAACCCAGAATAAAAGCACAGAATACAAATATCCATTCTTTGAATGGGATTCGAACTCACGATCCAAGTGTTCAAGCGAGCGGAGACAGTTCATGCCTTAGACCACGTGGCCACTGTGATTGGCACTCATTATTTTTCTATTTTGTTTTCACTGGCTCTACAGCCCTTCGGGCATGCCCTCTGACTTTTCAGTTTCATGATCATTTTTACAGCCGGTAGAACTTCTTGGATGACTGGTCAGCTCGTTGCAAGACCTCTACTTAAACAGAGGGCAACTCAAACACAGAGCAAAAACATACACATTCCAAATATCCATGCCTTGTGTGGGACTCGAACCCACGATCCCGGCTTCCGAGCGAGCGAAGCCTGTACATGCCTTAGACCGCTCAGCTACCGTGACCGGCACTCATTATTATTATATACACAAAATGATAATGATATATATATATTCTTCCCCTCACAAATTAATTAATTCTGCAGCATCCGTAAAAAAAATGTGTTCGTATGTGCAATAAGTACTGGTTCGTCAATGGGTTATGCCGTGTGGCCTAACTCAAAGGGCGAGAGGACACCAAGGAAACTGGCAACCGCAAAGCAACCGCAATTTCCGGGAAATGTCGCCGATTTCAAGCAGGCAACTGGTTTCCAGAGAAGTGGGCGCACACTGAGGAAACCTGTGTTTGAAGAGTTGCTCACATCATCTTAAGTGGGTATGTTCGCCCGGCGTAACCCTTGACTGCATTTTCTTAATTCCGTGCACTTACCTTCTGCAGTGGAAGATAATAATACCGATCCTGTCATAATGTGGCAGTAGTGCAGACCGGTTGAGACGGCGAGACAAGAGACAACGACAACCATAAGGAAAGTATTGGAATGTTAATTAATTTGTTTTAATTAATGTCAATTTATTGTAATCAGCAAATATTGCATCCACAGGCGATGCGAAATTTTGACATACAGTGCAACAATTTTAGCAAGACAGAAGACACCTGATGATGGCCGTATACAGCCGAACCATGTAATGTGTAAGAAGGGTGACTGTACAATAAGTTGCATTTAAGGCGGAAATACATGCGAAATAACTGCTATATTAATGCAACGGGATGCTTAAATACAGTATTAAGAAAAGAAAACATTTTGTGCATCCGTTCTTCTGTGATAATTGAAACTGAAGCGCTTATATTGTTTTGCAAGAACTTTACCTGGATCCAGACTCCTTCGTCTCGTGACAAATTCTTTCCCAAGCCAAATCTCTTTTTCCCCTCCTACCATAGTCTGAGTGGCGTTTATCATATATACCTGGCTCTTGCTGAATTAACTGCGCAAAAACAAAATTAGTAGCTTCGTCAACCTTTCGTGTCACCTTAACACACAAATGAATCACTGACAAGAGTTATAGCACAACAAACACTTGGAAACCATGTGACAAAACAACTGTGAGAAGACTGGCATGCTCCGTTTCCTGGAAATTGAGTTTCTCAGTCTCTCCGCGAGTTTCGTTGCCGTTTCCTCAATTTGCGCTGCTCATTTCAGTAACATGTGTTCAACTCAGACTGACAACAGTTCTCGGAAATCGCGGTTGCGTTTCGGTTGCCAGTTTCCTGAGTGTGCTCTCGGCCATATACTCCTTTTTGTTCACGTACGTATTATTTTGATTCTTGTATTGAGTTTTAGGTCCGAGTCATATATATATATATATATAAGTGGTCAATAAATCCATTCCCCAATCCAAACCCCGTCTCTAGTCACCCCTTAAATCGCGACAATATTAAAGTAAGGTCTCAAGGACATCTGACACATCACCAAAGAAACGACAGGTCCCTAGTAATTCTGTGCCCAGCTAGTCTTAAGGCCAAATCGTCTGGTTGCGAAGCTGTACTCCTTCCCGATAACAGAGTACAGGGAACGATTCTAGCCAATAACAGTGCTAGGGCGCGCATAAACCACACCCGATGTAACATCCAACGGAAGCCATATGCTATTATGCCTGAAAGCGTTCCCTTCATTCTTCCAAATACAAGGAATGACAAAATACGAGAGGACCAAGCTCTGAGAATGTACGTACACAGGAAGAATGTCGCAACACAGTTCGACGCAACAGCATAAAGAAAGTTTTTTTTTTCTTTCTTGTACGTGCCAATTTCATTCACAGTTAAAGATTACGGCTACAAACGTTTACACGGCCGGACAAACCTGACAAAGCATTATGCATTTCTTGCAAAATTAGCTTTCATAACAGATCCCAGCATTTTCCTGGCATAGGTTTCAATGTGCTAAGCTATTTAACAATGGTTGAGAAACAAGTTTCGTACATACGAATCTTCGGAAATCTCAATTGTGTGTGTGTGTGTGTGTATGTGTGTGCAGAGAGAAGTTGAGGTCGACGGGTTTACAAAACCATCTGCCTTATCGAATAAGCCATCGGGCCTGCTGGAATGCCACTGATATTCTGCAACTCTGGCTCCAAAAGACACTTTTCATGATTATGTGACAGCGTGTCCCAACAAGTATTTGTCTACGACAGTGATTCAAAAATGTGACATATGTGAAGCGAACTACAGGAATACCTTGCACAGCTGTTGCGATTTTTTACAAACTGAAGGTTTGTGGCAACCCTGCATCGAGCAAGTCTATCCGCTCCATTCTCCCAACAGCATGTGCTCACTCTGTGTCTGTGTCAAATTTTGGCAATTCTCGCAATATTTCAAACTTCTTCATAGTCACCGCCCTGAAAACCTCAAGTTCTTCATTATGTGTTACGGGGATCAGCAATCTTTGATGTTACTGCTGTATTGTTTTGCGGCGCCATCGCATAGCATGCTACAGAGAAAACTTTCGTGAAAGGAAGAGTCAATCGATTCGGCAAACTTCAATGTCGTATTATTTTAAAAAATTTCCACAGCCACCTCAACCTTCAGCAACCCCCACCCGGATCAGCCAGCAGCAAGGCCCTCCATCAACTGGACTCGCTGGAAGCTCAGATGATAGTTAGCAGTTCTTAGCATAAAGTGTGTAGCAACAAAGTAAGTACACTGTTTGCATTGCACACTTAGCAGACTGCAGTGTGGTGCAAACATAACTTTTATACGCAATGGGAAACCAAATAAATCTGTGTGACTCTCTTTATTGCGGTGATCTGGAATCGAACCTGCAGTGCCCACGTATCACTGTATTATCTTTACGAATTCATGGCCATCAACGGTTCTGATATTTAGGCGCTAAAGCTGACAATAAAAATGGTGTAATCTGGCATTTACGTCCTAAAACTTGTAATGAATTAGATCTCGGCTTCTTAGAACGCCATTTCAAGTGTACACAACATTCAGGCCTATGCGGACATTAGGAAGGACACGCGATTAAATTCTTGAAGTTCGAATACAAGAGCTTCATGATGGCGCCCCGGAGGGTGGACAAGTGCACCAGGCACCCCGTCTGAGCTCATACAGACTTCAGTGCCACATCCCTCCGAATTAGCCTACAGAGAGCCTCGACGTCTCACAACCCTATGGGCCTTCACGGCCTGTTACAGAAATAGCTTTTACCTTTTCTATCCACCCCCTTTTTGAAATTACAGCCTTAACGTGCGCTGCATTCTAGAGAGCACTGGTCTTTTTATAGCAGTATTTAAGAGACTCTGCTTTCCGGCTCGTATCTTGCTCAATATTGCTTCTGCTAATTCAGATTTTAGATTACATTTTTCCCCCCGTTTCCCCAATTTCTCGACTGAATTGTCGAAGAATTCGGGAATTCGGGAAGAAACATACATTTCCATAAGAACGCGGGGATATTACGAATAACTTCAGGTCAGGACAGGAGGGAATCGAATCGTGTACCCCACTATTACAAGTCAGACTTCATCTTGTACACGAAATGCTTCTGTACCGGAAGTACTGGCTGCGCATACACTCTTCACAAGCAACTCCACTCAAAGAAACGCCAGTCCTGAACGTAACGTTTCAACGGCAATAAATCCCAGACCAACTTACTTCAAAACAACAGCTGAATGCCAAAGGCAGAACGGGCAGAACTGTGGAAAGGGAGAACATTCGGAGACCAGCAGGCACCAAGACTTGGTCCACTGTGATGAATGGTACGGCCCCACTAACAAGTGCTCAGCATCGCAATACGGATAAGCTCAGTGCAGTGCATTTAATGGGCAATTCAGTATAAAAGTTCCACCTTATGGGACATATCGCCGTTATAATGCTCGCTACTTGCTGAACGCTGGTTTCTTGCTTGGTTTATTCTTTGATCCTAAAGATAACAACCGTTCTCTTTGAACTTTCTTAGTGAGTGGCACTAGTCACACAGACCGTTCATTATCTCTACACACACAAACAAAAGCAACAACACAACCAGCCCAACAACGTGGAAAAATCTACAAGTCACTCTAACTTACGTAAATATAAAACGCGAATAACGTAAACTATCTAATCGAATCCACATATCCGCTTATCCATCCATCCATCTGGAAGATTCCTGGCACTCAGTTTTGTTAGAAGCTGAGCCTACCCCAGGTTAATAGTGCGGCTGGAAGGATTAGGTCAATTGGAAAAAAAAAATCCATCTCATCGGGACTCAAACCCACGACCTTCCGGCTTGTAGCATTGGGGCGTAAAGGGCGGCCGGCGCGTAAGGTTGACAACATTACCGCCATCTGTGAGCCGACTGTCTAGAGAAAATGTGGGA